GTGTGGGCACACAGGTAGGACAGTGCGTGGGCACACAGGTAGGACAGTGCGTGCACACGGGTGTGGGCACACGGGCGTGCGGCACCGCGCAGCGCGGGCTGGGTGTGAGCAGCAGAGCCCGCTCCGGATGCACAAGAGCCGTTTATTGCCGGACAGCGCGCGCAGCCCGCGGGAGGGAGGGATGGATAAGGCAGATGGCAGCCAGTTAAAGCTCGGGGGGGCCGGGGGGCAGCCGTGCACGGGGAGAGGGGGGGCCGGGCCTACCCCCGCTCGTGCTGCGCCCCGATGGGGGCAGAGGGGGCCCAGGCGGACTCCCCCCCGCAGGCGCCGGCCCCGCCGCCGGGGTCCCGCTCCTCGTAGCCGGGGTTGCGGTGGCCGGGGGCCAGGCGGCAGAAGCAGCTCCCCGGCGCTCCCGAGTAGTGGGCCAGGAGGGCGGCCACGCTGGCGAACTCGGCGTTGGAGTGCTGCCGTCGGCACCGGAGAGGGAGAGAGGGCAGAGGGGAGAGGTGAGCCCCCCGTGAGGGCCGTGCAGGGATGCCCACGAATCCGTGTGCCCACGCGGCTCTGCACCCCTGGACTGAATGTACCCCACACCAAACACCTCTGTACCCGTGCACAAGCACACTCACACCCCAAACACAGACCTGTCCCTGTGCAGCAGGTACCCACAGACGCAGGGCACCCATGCCCTGGGCACATGAGTCAAACAGAGCCTTGCACCCCCTGCCCCCGTGCACGTGTATACCGGTGTACCTGCACCCCGTGTGTGCACACACAGCTGCCCCCGTGCACTGATACACCCACAGACCAAAGGTCTGTAGGGCTGTGAGTCAGACACACCCACACACCTGTGCCCCACGTACCATGCACAGATGTACTCGGGGACCCACTAATCGGATGTATTTACACACCAAAGTGTGGATCCACCGGTGCACCCACACCTGTGGGTACCTGTGTGCCTTGCACAGATGGACCTGTGCCCCAATGCGCCCACAAATCAATGAGCCCATGCCCCGACACCACTGTGCACCCCACACAGGTGCCCTTGAGCACTGATACCCTTACACCCCCGTGCATCCCTGCACCAAGGCACCAGTTCATCATGGACAGATGGACCAAATGTACTTGCATGGGGCACCAAATGCATGGACACACCAGTCCCAACTGTATCCATGTCCCAATGTGCCAGGGCATCCATGCACAGATGAACTGACACACCAGGGCATCCATGCACAGATGCATCCAGTGCTTGTTCACACCAGTGTATCCATGCACAGACACACCCAATGCACTCACACACCGGTGCATCCATGTCCTGATGCACCAACACACCAGTGCATCAGTGCACAAACGCACCAAATGCACTTATAGCCCCAGGGCATCCCTGCACAGGTGGTCTCAATGCACCTACACGGTGTGTCAAATGCACGTATATACCAGTGCATCCAAGTGCCAACACACCAATGAGTCCATGCACAGGCACACCAGATGCTTGTACACATTGGTGCATCCACGCACAGGGGCACCAGTGCCCTCACACACTCCATCCGTGCATCCCTGCTCCACTGCAGCCGTGCACAGATGCACCAACACCCCAGGGCATCAACGCACAGATGCAGAAAATGCTCTTTTACCCCAGTGCACCCCCACAAGACACATCACGTGCACTTACCCGGGTGCAACTCTGCACTGCTGCAGCCCCGCAGCGAACACACTCGTGCGCCCAACCCACCGTCACCCGCCGCCCCCGGCTCACCTCCACGCAGAACCTGCCCTGGTGTGTCCTGAGGAGGCCGTAGGACACGACGCCGCAGGGCGCCCGCACCCACAGGCACCAGCGCTTGGGCAGCCCGGGCTCGGGGCGCAGCAGGAAAGCTCCGGGCACGTCCCGCCGCAGCAGCGCGACCCCCGCGTCCCTGGGGACGAGGCGGTGGGTGGGCACCGGGGGTGGAGAGCAGCGGGGTGGGTACAGGGAGTGGAGGGCAGCGGGGTGGGCACAGGGGGCGAGGGGCGGCCCCCGCGCACTCACCTGGCGATGCCGGCGAAGGCCCACACGCTCTCGGCCAGGACGCTCTCGTTCTCGGGCAGGAGGGCCAAGCTCCGCGCACCTTTGCTCTCCCATCCCGCCGCCGCTGCGGGAGCCCGTTAATCCCCTCTTTGCCCCCAAAGCCCCCCGATACCGGGGCCGCGGGTGCCCCCGTGCCTCGGGTTCCCTGTGCCACTCACCGGCGTCGCGGGGCGGTTGGTGGAGCTGCCCCTCGGCCCCGCAGTCCCGGTAGGCCCCCGAGCGCAGCACTTTGCTGCGAATGGCTTTCTTGCGCACCAGCACCGGGGAGCAGTAGGGGTTCCCCGGGCGCCAGGAGCCGGCTCTGCCCTCTGCCTCCGGCCGCCGGTCCTGGGGAGGGGATGGAGGGGCTGTGAGAGGGGCTGGGGGGTCTGGCTGTGGGGAAGGGCGTGTGAAACACCGTGCGGGAAAATAAGGCCGTGGAAGAAACACAACACCGAAAAGGCGACACCGAAGGTGCGACGTCAAAGGCGTGGCACCAAAAAACGCGACGCCAAAAAAGCAACACAAAAAAAAAAGCAACAAAGATGCTGCGCCGAAAAAGCTACACCAAAAATGTGACGCCAAAAAATGCGACGCCAAAAATGAGACAAAGATGCTACACCAAAGAAGCGGCACCAAAAATGTGACACCAAAAAATGCGACACCAAAGAAAAAAAAGGGACGCCAAAAATGCGACAAAGATGCGACACCAAAAATGAGATACCAAAGGAGCAACACAAAAAATGCAATACCAAAAAGGCTACACCAAAAAATGCGACACCAAAAATGCTACACCAAAAAATGTGGCACCAAAAATGTGACCAAAAAATGCTACCCCAAAAAATGCAACACGAAAAATGCTACACCAAAACACCAAGCAGAAAAAAATGCTGTGGCGGAAAATGCTGTGGATAAACTGCAACACCAAAAAGGCTGTGAAAAACACCATTCAGAAGAAGATGTTGTGGAAAACACCATGCAGAAAAAACACTGTGCAAAACGCTGTGCAAAACTCTGGGCCTCAAAAATGCTGTGGGAAAAATGCAATAACAAAAAAGTTGTACAAAGCACCATGCAGAAAAATGCTGTGCAAAAAAATGCAACATGAAAAAAGCTGTGGAAAACACCATGCAGAAAAATGCTGTGCAAAAACTGTGACACCAAAAATGCAACACCAAAGGTGAGACACCAAAAATGCTGTGCAAAACACCATGAAAAAACACAGTGTGCAAAAAAAAAGCCACGTGGAAAAAATGCAGCGCAAAAAATGTTGTACAAAAAAAATGCAGTGAGAAATGCAACACAAAAAGCACCCTGCAAAAATCATCCTGAAGAAAATGCCTTGCAAAAAAATGAGGTGCCAAAAAAAGTGCAAGAACGTGATGTGCAAACCATGATGTGCAGAAAAAATGCTGTGCAAAACACCATGGAAAAATGCCACGCAAAAACCACCATGGAAAAGATGCCACGCAAAAAAAGGTCATGCAAAACATGCCGTGCAAACCACCATGCAAAAGATGCTGTGCAAAAAAACCCCAACAGTGCAAAAAGGACTGTGAAACACCCCCATTGTGCAAAAATGCTCTGCAAGAAATGCCACACCAGGACAGCCATGCAAATCACCATGAAAGAGTGCCATGTAAAAAAGTTATATGAAATAATTCAGTGTAAAAAAAATTAAACAGAAACACTCAGTGAAAAAAAAGTGCGGTGCGAAAACACCAGGGGAAAAATGCCCTGCAAAACTGATGGGAAAAAAAATTGCTATGCAAAAAAAAAAGTGCTGTGCAAACATGCCCGATGCCAAATTCCAGGCAGGAAAAGGCCGTCAAGGAAAAAAAACACATTTAAACCAGAAGGTAAGGACGGGCTGTGCAGGGTGGGCCCTGCAAAATGCACCGGGCAAAAATGTGCCCTTCAAAATGCCGTGCGAGGAGGGGACGCGTGAAGCGCTGCACTCACAGCACCCTGCAAAGGGGACACGCGAGAAAACGCCGTGTGAAAACGTGCTGTTTGATGACGTGCTGAAAAGGCCGGGCAAGAGCTGCCCGGGAAAACGTGGGGCAAAGAAAAAAAAAAACCTCTGCCAAAAGCACCGTGCTGTTGTGACAGAGATGAGGAGGTTCTCTGCGGGGCCAGGAGCTGGGCTGGGATGGTCCTGGTGGGTCCCCGCCAACCCAAAATATCCTGTGAAACGCCGTGCAAAGGAAAGGCCATGCGAGACACTGCGCGAACATCGGGCTGTGCAAAAGCGCGTGTGAGAAAACACTGCAAAACCCCCGCATGTGAGATCCCCCGTGGAGCAGCGCCCGGGGAAGGGGCCGTGGGCACCCACCCCTGTGCCCAGCGAGCCGAGCCCGGCGGGCGCGGGCAGGCGCCGGAACGACACCAGGGCGTTCACGTTGCGAGACACCTCGTCGGGGTTGAGGGGCTCCCGCAGCACCCCCGGCCCCGGGGGCTCCCCCTCGGCCGCCTGCTCCTCGGGGTGCGCCAGGAGGTGGCAGAGCTGGAAGCAGCGGCAGAGCAGGAGGTGCAGGGTCTGGACCTGGGGGGAGGCGAAAGACACCGCGTGCAAATCTTAAAAGTAATGATAGTTGTGGGGGGTTTAGGGGGGTGGGGGGGGGGTTGGGCCGCCACCTCTCCCGGGAGCCCCACGAAGAGGTGGCAGAAGAGGGAGCTGGGGGGGCTGTGGGGGTTGCGGGCCACGAAGGCGAACTGGCGGTCGGCGAGGCAGCACGTGCTGTACAGGATCCGGCGGAGAGCGTGGGCCATCAGCAGGGTCTGGGGGACCAGAG